ATAAGGCTGTTACTACTATCTTATCTATGTGACTAATGCTCCTCGCGAATGCACTGAGCAACTTACAGTAATCAAATACCAAACCAAAATGTAAACAACTTTCCGCTGAACGGCACGTTGTAACGTCCCCCCCCCCCCTCTCCACACCCATCCCCCAAACGCCCCTCCCGCTCGGCTAGCGCTGCCCAGGGCAGGTGTCTCGTCATCAGCCGATCGCCGCTGACCGGCACTCACTGAAGACGGTGCTCGGGTCCAGGTCGTCCCAGTTCTCCGTGTGGCTCAGGATGACCTTGAGCTCGGCGAACGCCTTCAGCAGGTTGTCCTGGCTCTCGTCCTGCGCAAAACACCGGCCGCCCCGTCACACGAGCCCCGCCGAGGGGGTCAGCAGCGGCGCGCCGCGAGCTTAGGGCACACCTCGGGTCGCCACACCCGTCTGCAGGGCCCGCTGCCCGCCCACCACGCCTCCCAGATGACGGAGCTAGATAATCCATGCTTAACAACACAGCAAGTGTAAGGGCGGGTGTAACTACAAGGCATAACGATTCTGTCACAGAACGCGTGCATGATCCCCAGCGCGCGGCACCGCTCTCCATGGCCCGCGGTGCCGGCCGTCGCCACAGGTCGGCGACGGCTGATGTTGGTCGCCCCCCCCCCCCCCCCCCTCCCGCGTGAGCTGATACCCGGGTGATACAGCGCCGGCCGAACCGCACGGCTCCGTATCGGTGCCAGAGACAGAGCCCAACAAACCCAGCCGATATCACATATGGACTCTACGCGGCGCCGGGTCAGCTTGGGAAGCGGCTCATCTGGTTCAAAACCTGCACCGCGTCAGCAGTGAGTCACACGCCGACGACAGCGCTCACCTGGTTGCCGTGGTTGGACTAGGGTCAGTAACGCAGCCCCGGGACTCACCTGGTTGCCGTGACTGAACCAGCGTCAGTACCCCAGCCCCGGAACTCACCTGGTTGCCGTGGTTGGACCAGCGTCAGTACCCCAGCCCCGGGACTCACCTGGTTGCCGTAGTTGGACCAGCGGGGCCCGCGGCGCATAGCCGTCAGCAGTATGCTCATCTCGCCCTGAATGATGTACAGGATGTTGCCGGGCGGCCTCATGGTGATGCCCTGTCGGCGAGGACAGCTCCGTGTCACGTGTGGAGCCGGCACAGCCGCCGGACGACGCCCAGGCCAGGGGGAGGGGGTCACAGGCACTGGGGGAGAGCCGCCGGCTGAAGACGCCCGGCCAGGGGGAGGGGGTCACAGGCACTGCGGGAGAGCCGCCGGCTGAAGACGCCCGGCCCGGGGGATGCTGGGAGGTGCGGAGGAGGGCGGCGGACTGGCCACATATGAACGGCGAACGCAGCTAACGGCTCCAGGGCCATAGCCATTCAGGGGCTTGTTTCTCTCAGCGGAAGCCGTTATCACGTACTGACGTGGGCAATCGCGCTATGTGAAAAAAATCGTAAGCAGCATCATGACATGCGGTCGTGTTGTCACTGCCGTCACGTCACCGCCGGGTTGGCTGCCGCCATGTCTTTCTGTTTTCCCACCATTTCCGACACAGGCAACGGCCGCCACCATTCACGCTGCAGTATTTATGGCAAAGGCGTGAGATACCGCGGCCCACCGGGTAGTGAGGAGCGTCAAATCCTTCCTTCATAAGTCCATCACCACATCTTCTGAGTTGTAACGTCCCCGTGAGGCTGCGCACTTCCACACCAGCATCCCCAGCCCCCGGGACCAGAATGGGTATACCTCCAACAAAGAACGCCGATTCAAACGAAACCATCAGAGCGCTCGCGCGCCACCTATTCCACATCCCACCTCAGTGGAAAAGAGCATTGCTTCGAACTGTCACATCCAGATGACGGGACAGGCTCTGCCGCCCTCCATCATACGTCCATTGACAAAGATGAGCATCACACATCCATTGACGAAGATGATCATCACACGTCCATTGGTGGAGATGATCATTACACGTCCACTGACGGAGATGATTATCACACGTCCACCGGCGGAGATGATTATGACACGTTCATCAGCGGAGATGATCATCACACGTCCATCCGCAGGGATGATTATCATCTACAGCGGCGGCGGCACGACACCGCCACTGAGCAGACGTTCCAGTGGAAGGAAGGGGGGAGGTTTGCTCCGCCCTCGGCCGTGTCCGTTAGGCTAACCTGAGCCGGGGTTCGGCGGCGGGCGGCTCGGCTCCAGCTCAGCAGCCCAGAGGCCGGGCTTTCGAGCACGGGACCCACCAGCCGCGCCCGGCATCCGCAGCAGAAGAGACCGCCCGCCGCCGCCCGCTCGGCGCCCGTGCGAGCGGGGCGCAGCGTCAGCCGACGGGATTTGGGGGTGGCCAGTGGCCGCCTCCTGTCGTCACTAGCTGCGACGTCACTCTGCGGCGCAGCCTCGGACGCCGGTGGGTGTGTTCGGAGGCAGCCCCGGACGCCGGTGGGTGGGCTCAGAGGCAGCCTCGGACGCCGGTGGGTGGGCTCAGAGGCAACCTCGGACGCCGGTGGGTGGGCTCAGAGGCCGCGGGAGCTTCTCCACAGCGGCCAGCGTGTTTCCACCCCGGGCCTAGCCACGCGGCTTGATATCCAAACAATCTTCGCCATTGAGGCTGACTTTCGTCGTCAAGTTAGACTCCGATTTTGGAGCCTCCGTTTTTAGGATCCTGTTGCACTTGGTCGCTCCATCCTTCTGCATTCATTGAGAAATACCCGCTATTCTTCAGCATACGGCTACTAGCGAGACAGCAAGATCTGGTGTAACCGTCCAGGTCCTCTAACTGTCACCACACTCAGCCACTCGCGAGATAACACGGTCTGGTGCAACCGTTCAGGTCCCCTAACCGTCAACACACTCGGCTTCTCGCGAGATAACACGATCTGGTGCAACCGTCAAGTGCCCTAACCGTCACCACACTTCCGTTGCCTCTTTATCTGTGTTTGCGCCGCATAAAGCTCCCATACGGATTCTCAACCGACCGTGCCCTCCTCGGGCAGCAGGACGCTGGCTTTCCCACCGACCGCAACAAGACGACGCGACATACCCGACGAGGCGGCGGCCGCACGCGTGCGCGGTCACCTGAACTGACGACCGCACCACCGCACGGACACCTGGCAAAAAACGGCCCGGGGCCGGCGGCAGCGGCGGCGCCACGCGTCCCGAGGGGGAGGGGGGAGGGTCGCCAGGCGGCGGGTCACAACAGAGTCGAGCCAGGCCAGCGGCACACGCACGCGGCTGTCGCTGGGCGCCTCGATGACGTCACAGGTCCCTCACCCGCCACTGTCGGTGATCATTGTCGTGGTGACTATTGTGTTGCGTATTCATTGATGTATCTGTCATGTTCCTGGGTGTTGGTATTGTGCTCTCTCGTCGTATTGATGTCATAGTATGTGCCTTATCGTTCGTAGTCTGTCTTCCAATTGCTGTGTCTGCTCCTCTCACCCGCCTATCATCATGCATTCCACCCAGCTCCCAGCAATGGCCGTCCTGCGCTCAGCTGATAAAAGACCGTGAAACCCTTCTGTTTGATGTCAAACTGGTCAGGCTCCTCACAGACGGCCGCCACTGGCACGTGATGCATGCGCAGTCGACCCACGCTCTGTGCGGGGCGGGGGGGGGGGGGGACACACCGCCACACGGCCTCCTGACGTGCTCGGCGCCGTCCGGTCACCTCGGCCTCCCTCTGTGCTGGGCAGGGGGGGGGGGACACGCCGCCACACGGCCTCCTGACGTGTCCGGCCCCGTCCGGTCACCTCGGCCACGCGTGAGCGATCGTGGTCGATGCCAACCGCCGAGTCCTTTTGCACGGAGATATCGACTCAGTTAACATGTGCGTTCCCCATTCACCTGAAAACAGGTGCATGTGGCTGCCAATGTGCCTGGTGTGATAATGTGTGGTACTCAAATTACTACACTCATCTACGGCCACGTTCAAGTGCAAATGAATTGATGAATGAAAGTGCGAATAGATGAGACATTTGTTCTTCAAGCGTCGGAGTTGGCTGATTGGCCATGTGCACACTGCCCACCGGCAGCGCATACAAAGGGGACGGGCCGATGTCGGCCATCTGCGAGGGGTTTGTCAAGTTTGGCATCAGACCAGAGTGAAAGGATTCAAGAGAGACCTTGTTAACTAATGCTGCATTCAAGCAATGTTAAATGTCATCATTAAAAACCACCAACCAATCCAGTCCATATGGCATCAATTTACAAAGGCCGAATTACAGGACGAGAACTGCTGAGCTCTCAATATGTAGCCTTTCAGACCAAAAAAAGGCAACTGTCATAGCAACAGCGAGTCTCTCTAGAGCATGGAGAAAGCATTTTTCACAGCTGGTGCTCAACATCCTCAGCTTGGCAATGCCATCACATGAGGGGCGACCATGTCAGAGTAACACGAGCCACGAGGTGCGCACCACAGCGTCTCACTACCAGAACGCTCTGAACACCCTGCGATGGGTGAAACAAACCGTGAGTGCAGTGTATCCACCTGGTCACGAGGGGCGTGCCAGCCGTTTACGACCCTCACTCTGAAGCCAGTGCCGACTCAGGAGATTGGTGAGCTCGCAGTGCCGTTAAGGACAGGATCTGCCCAAACCCAGCTTATATCGGCGACCCCTTCAGGTGGAATGATGCTCCACAGAGAACTGTCTGGCTGAAGGCCGCCCCGCCGTAATGGGTTTGCTGCGTCACAATGCCGTCGCCGTGGCGTCTCCCGTAGCGGAAGAGACTGCAAACCCCGCAGACAAGGCCTCTCCGTGTACGCTCGTGCCTCCGCCTGCCACTAGACTAAGTGCCTGTCCCTGAACCTGCCGGACCAACTTCTGATCAGCCAGGTTGAATGAAGTCTAGATGGTGCTACCATACTCGAGATAACGTCTTATAAGAGTCCTGGAAAGCACATACTGAGCCATCCAGCTCATGTACTGGCATGATCATACATGCTACAGACAAAAGACAGGACCTGTGTGGCCTACAAGACTGTTGCGGTCACTTGCCTCTGACAGAGCAGGGTGGGGTCTGCAAGACAGGACCTGTGTGGCCTACAAGACTGTTGCGGTCACTTGCCTCTGACAGAGCAGGGTGGGGTCTGCAAGACAGGACCTGTGTGGCCTACAAGACTGTTGCGGTCACTTGCCTCTGACATAGCAGGGTGGGGTCTGCAAGACAGGACCTGTG